AGAGGATGAGCGTATAAGTGAAGGAGAGAAAAAGAAGAGAGGATAAGTGAAGATAGGAGAGGAGGAGAGGAGGAGCAGAGGAGAGAAAAAGAAAAGGAGAGGATGAATGAAGATACGGTGAAGGAGAGGACAAGCGGATAAGTGAAGGAGAGAAAAAGAAGAGAGGATAAGTGAAGATAGGAGAGGAGGAGCAGAGGAGAGAAAAAGAAGAGGAGAAGATGAATGAAGAGAGGATGGGATGAGAGGATGAGCGGAGGAGTAGAAGGCAGCTGTGTTCCCGTCGGAGCGAGTGAGGCGTTTGATGTACAGAATAATAATGCCTCTCGTAGATTACGGGATTATTAGCTCTTTTCTGCGTCGACAATGAAGTTATTTTGCGATTAAATTACTGAGGGGATCGTTTTGGATACGAGCACGCCCACCGCCGCCGAGCGCGCGCACAACGACGAGCGAGGGGGCGGCGTGAAAACACACTCCCCGAACCTTTGTCTCGCACTGAAATTGAAAAAGGCCCCGGAGAGACGCAGCGACCCGATCATCCACACGCCTTTGTTTACACTAAGAGGTTATTCATCAAGAAAGAATACTTAGAAACAAGCTAATAACGACGGGTTAATAACGGCGAGAAAACAGAGCGAAAAACGGCGAAAAAAAGAGTGAGCTAATAACGGCGAGAAAATGGCAAGTTAATAACAGAGAGAAAAAGGCAAATTAATAACGGCGAGAAAACAGAGAGCTAATAACAGAGAGAAAAAGGCAAATTAATAACGGAGAGAAAAAGACAAGTTAATATCAGCGAGAAAACGGCAAGTTAATAACGGCGAGAAAACTGCAAGTTAATAACGGCGAGAAAACTGCAAGTTAATATCAGCAAGAAAACGGCAAATTAATAACGGCGAAAAAACAGAGAGCTAATAACAGAGAGAAAACGGCAAGTTAATAACGGAGAGAAAATGGCAAGTTAATAACGACGAGAAAACGGCAAGTTAATAACGGAGAGAAAACGGCAAGTTAATAATGCAGAGAAAACGGCAAATTAATAACGGAGAGAAAACTGCAAGTTAATAACGATGAGAAAACAGCGAGCTAATAACGGTGAGAAAAGAGTGAGCTAATAATGGCGAGAAAACAGCGAGCTAATAACAGAGAGAAAACGGTGAGCTAATGAAGGCGAGAAAACGGCAAGTTAATAACGGAGAGAAAATGGCAAATTAATAACAACGAGAAAACAGCGAGCTAATAACGACGAGAAAACGGCGAGCTAATAACAGAGAAAACGGTGAGCTAATGAAGGCGAGAAAACGGCAAGTTAATATTGGCGAGAAAACGGCAAGTTAACGGCGAGAAAACTGCAAGTTAATATTGGCGAGAAAACGGCAAGTTAACAACGGCGAGAAAATGGCAAGTTAATAACGACGAGAAAACAGCGAGCTAATAACAGAGAGAAAACTGCAAGTTAATATCAGTGAGAAAACGGCAAATTAATAACGGCGAGAAAACGGCAAGTTAATAATGGCGAGAAAACAGCGAGCTAATAACAGAGAGAAAACGGCAAGTTAATAACGGCGAGAAAACGGCAAATTAATAACGGCGAGAAAACGGCAAGTTAATAACGGCGAGAAAACAGCAAGCTAATAATGATGAAAAAACGGCAAGTTAATAACGGCGAGAAAACGGCAAGTTAATAACGAGAGAAAAAGGCAAATTAATAACGACGAGAAAACAGCGAGCTAATAACAGAGAGAAAACGGTGAGCTAATGAAGGCGAGAAAACGGCAAGTTAATAACGGCGAGAAAACGGCAAGTTAATAACGGCGAGAAAACGGCAAGCTAATAATGATGAAAAAACGGCAAGTTAATAATGGCGAGAAAACGGCAAGTTAATAACGAGAGAAAAAGGCAAATTAATAACGACGAGAAAACAGCGAGCTAATAACGGTGAGAAAAGAGTGAGCTAATAATAGCGAGAAAACGGCGAGCTAATAACAGAGAGAAAACGGTGAGCTAATGACGGTGAGAAAACGGCGAGTTAATAACAGAGAAAATGGTGAGCTAATAACGGCAAGAAAATTGAAAGTTAATAACGGTGAGAAAACGGCGATCTAAAACGGCGAGCTAAAACGGAGAGCTAAAACGGAGAGCTAAAACGGAGAGCTAAAACGGAGAGCTATTAACGGTGAGAAAACAGCAAGTTAATGACGGCGAGAAAACTGTGAGCTAATAATGGTGAGAAAAAACTGTGAGCTAAAACGGCGAGCAACACTCTGATACTGTAAATATACGATTCTGAAACTGAAAACATAAAAAGAAGAAATGAACTCAAAAGGAATCAAAGAAATGTCGGTATTAAAGATGCACTGTGTAACTTTTTCTAGTATAAGCTTTGCCACACCTGCTTGTCGCCATGGAAATGCGATTGCTTTGCTCGAATGTTCCGTACTATGGCATTAAACATAACATAAATACATCTCGCTTTTATTCATACACGGGTGTCTTCATTGTAAAAGAAAACAAGCCCTTCCACAGATCTGACCAGTAAGTCCATGGAGACTTAATTGTAATGCTGTACTGCGGAATATTCTAGGCAAAGCAATAACGTCTCCATGGAGGGAGTGGCTAACGGAACCTCCCACCAGAAAGAAAAGTAGAAAAGTGACACAGTGTGGCTTTTTAAATTTCACATGGAGAACAACCTGGTGTCAATCTGTCTACACACTCATACAATTTAATATTATTTTTTTTTATGAGATACATCCTGGCAAATTCTGAATTCAATCGTGTGTCAGAGTTAAGACAGAGTTTAAGATTATTAAAATTAGTAAAATGTGTTCAAAGTTAAATCGGTTCTGTTTCTTCACAGTGGTGCCCGTGTCTGGGCTTTTTGTCGAGGACCTTAAGGATCAGCAAAAGCAAAACAACTGAGACAAGTTTTAATCTTAAGTATTTTGTGTGACTGATAAATTTAACATTTTCATCCAGAATGAGGCCAAGAGATTTAATTTAAATGAATGTTTGAATTTTCTCATTGTGAATAGTCACCTCAAAGTCAGTATTTTATTTTATTCTTTTTTTTGTGTACGCACCCAAAAACAAAGAAATTAGTTTTTTGTTGTTGTTGTTTTGTTTTACATTCAAAGTCAAGTGTGACACTAAGTCATTTTGTAACACAGGTGTTTTTGCAGATACATACAACACAGCAGTATCATCAGCATACATTTGAACATTAACAGTATATATTCTTAACTTAAAGCCACAGTATGTAACTTTTTGTGCCAAAAAATTTGATAAAAATCTATGTTTTTTATAAGGTTTTGATTTCATAATGAGTCAGCTTGCCCCTCCACAAACCTGACTCTTATTTGTCCTGCAAGGACGAGGGCCTCTTCCTGCTTGTTTCCATGGAAATGTTGTTCCTTTGGCTTTAATATTCCACAGTGTGACATAAAACCTGTCCACCTCCACAGATGATGCTCCCAAAGTTTGGTTTTAACTTTCTCTTTCCATCGATCTTTACAGGTGACTTCCCACTTCCAGAACGTTACACTTTCTGGATCACTTCAACTCGGTCTAACCTCTGTTTTTTTTTCTCTCCATCTCCTCAGGTGTTGTGGTTTTGTATAATTTTAAGTGACAAATAATAAATGTTTTGTTAAAAGTCTTATATTACACAAAATTGACTCTTTAAATATGTTATAATGTTGTTACCGCCTCAAAAACAGACCTGGAGTTTTGTTTCATTCACACATGTTTGAGTAACATCTCCAAAGCTCTCTTAAATACTCTGTTCCACCTTGTGATGTCATGAAGGTCTCGTTTTCAAATTCCTTTGACTTTTTGTTCAGTAGAGTTTGGCAATTCCAGAGCTGTGTTTCAGTGTGTTCAGTTTGAGGGAAGAACTCGGCCTAAATCTGCTGAGTTTGCGAGTTAAACCTGTAACGAAACACAACTCCAGGTCTGTTTGTACGGAAGCCGAGAGGGGTCACGACAAACGCAAACACCGCGACAAATACAAACGCGACAACACATCAAAAAGCCACAACAAAACAAAAAAAGCCACAACGGAAATGACCGCGGGACTCTATTTGAATGTGAACGCCGCAACAAATACAAACGCCGCAACACAAACGCAAATGCCACAACACATTAAAAAGCCACAACACATTAAAAAGCCAAACAAGCCACAACACAAATGCAAAAGCCACAACATTAAAAAAAGCCACAACTCATTAAAAAGCCACAACATTAAAAAGTCGCAACACATTAAAAGGCCAAACACATTAAAAAGCCACAACACATCAAAAAGCCACAACACAAACGCAAAAGCCACAACACATTAAAAAGCCGCAACACATTAAAAAGCCATAACGGAAGTGATCGCAGGACTCTATTTTCCGACGGACCGATCAAGCGGCAAGTGAAGAAGAAGAACTACAACGTGAAACGAATAATGATAAAACAATAAATGACTTTTACTTACGTTTCCAACTTCCCCGTTCCTTTACTTTTCACGTTGTAGTTCTTCTTCTTCACTTGCCGCTTGATCGGTCCGTCGGAAAATAGAGTCCCGCGATCACTTCCGTTATGGCTTTTTAATGTGTTGCGGCTTTTTTGTTGCGGCTTTTTAATGTGTTGTGGCTTTTTAATGTGTTGTGGCTTTTTGTGTGTTTGTTTTTAATGTGTTGTGGCATTTGCGTTTGTGTTGCGGCGTTTGTATTTGTTGTGGCGTTTGCATTAAAATTGAGTCCCGCGGTCATTTCCGTTGTGGCTTTTGTTGGTTTGTTGTGGCTTTTTGTTGTGTTGTCGCATTTGTATTTATTGCGGCGCTTTGCGTTTGTTGTGACCCCTCTCAGCTTCCGTATGTTTGCGATGAGGAAACAGCATTATAACATAGATCGGAGAAAAGCGTAACGTGGACTCTTTAAACGCCAAACTCTTCGGCCGTTGTGTCTCGTGTCCGTTGAAACTCCGTGTAAACCTTTTCCCCGTGTTTGTGTCCCCAGGTTTAGCCCCTACGAGTGGTACAACCCCCACCCCTGCAACCCCGACTCGGACGTGGTGGAGAACAATTTCACGCTGCTCAATAGTTTCTGGTTTGGCGTCGGAGCTCTCATGCAGCAAGGTAGTGCCACAGCAGCAGCCCCCGCCCCCTCCTCCTCGCCCCACGGCATTCTGGGGGAGCGGCTTTGGCCCGCGGTGCATGGGGCTCTGTGCATGGAGCTCTGGGCTGGGGCAGAGGAGACGAATGCACAGAATGAGTGAATGTGAATGATGGAAATACTCACCGCATGCCACCACACTTTAACTTCTAACTCTTAAAGGTGCACTGTGGGACTTTTCGACTGGAGGTCCGTCAGCTGCTTGTTTCCATGGAGATGTCGTTGCTCTGGTTTGATCTTCATGAAGATAGAAAGGTTTGATACCAGAATGGCCACGTTTACATGATGTTTTTTTAATTACGAATTAACTGTTCTGAAGTTTATGTGGAAATAATAATTCTGAATTGAGTTTTTCATGTAAAACTCGTTAAATCGTCTTTATTTAATTCCGTTCAGCGTCTGGGGGTGGGGAAGGTTCTGATTGGACAGAGACATGAACGTATTTATGTCGACCGGAACGAAACACACACTTCAGCTGCTACCAACTTTTTTGTCATCTCAATTTGTCGTTACTCCACGGACACAAACATGATCTAAAGTTTTTCCACAGTCGTACCGATGATAATTGAGCAGCAGCTGGAGAATTCTCTCATTCTGCTCTCAAATCCAAAGAGCAGTGGATGAAAGTCTGAAGGACTGGTAGAGTCGAAGCGAGGACCAGACCGCGTGAGAAGGGTGACTCGACAAGCATGCGCTGAACAATCAAAATAGTTTTTAAGAATAAACATTTACTAGCCTGATTCATCGGTTTTACTTCATGGAAACCGTGTGACCTCGCAGAATTAGGGTTTGTTCACTCGACAGTAGGCGGGTACTTTTTTTTATTTAGCCAATCGTTGCTATTTGGTCGTGACATATGTAATGCGCCAAATCTCGTAGGGAGGACAATAACGTCTTTCCCCTTGATAAAATTCACCAAACATTCTCTTTGTTCCGGCTTTAAATCCTCAATCTCTGGAATCGTTGCCAACACAGAATGTGTTTGTCTACGTCCATCTCGACACTTTGTTTACTGTTGTGTTGTTCCACAAAAGGGACCCAGACAGACGCGACGGGTTTGACGTCGTGGCTTCACAGCTCTTCACTGATTGGTCGGTGCGCAGTCTACAACTTCCGGGGTTCTTGCAAATTGTCTCGTATATTCTCTGGAGAGAATGAAATTGAGCGGAGGCACTAGGTGGCGCCAGACTGGCTAAACGTTTACATGATTGAGGAATAAATTTATTTGGCTTTAAAAGCGCAATAAACCATGACTTACTTCAGAATTAAGTTTAATTCCACATAATCATTTTCAGAAGGAATTAAGTGTTTACATGTTCTTTTTAAAGTTAATCAGAATTAAATCTCTCATGTAAACATGGAAACTGTGAATCATTTCAGAGCATTAACATGTCTGTGAAGAACAGCATCTGATGGACCCTCCACCAGAAAAGTTCCACATTGCACCTTTAACTCCTGTAGTCAGTGAGTCCCTCTTTCCAGGAGTAGTTCAGAGGAGAAGGTTTCGACGGTAAATATCTGGACACAGTTATTGAAACTGAGATTTTTCATAAAGTTACATAAACTCCTGATGGCAGAGGAAACATCTCGATTTCAAAAACATCATCCTTCGACCTTTGAAAACTTTTTCTACCCTAATCCCTCTACTCTGATATTCAGACTGTTTATTACTGAAAACATGGACAGTGTTTTACGATATTATCACGATACGGCGATACACGATAATCCATATATCACACATGATCCTGTTATATATATATCACTGTTTTTTAAGAACCAAACACATTTTAGCAACATTATTTCTTTGTTAAACCATTACCTGTGCTAATTTAATATGAAGCACATCTATTTTAATCATCAAAACACTGAATATGTCAAATAAACAAGTTTAATTCCACTAAATAAGCAACAAAATTGTAGTACAGTCTCAAAAAATGATCAATGTATCAAAACAGCAGCCGGCGATAATGATTTACTATCATATTAAATTATTGCCAAATTCAGTATCACAATATGTTGATATGACAATATTTTTTGTGCACCTCTAGTATCAAACGTTATAAAATAAACTCTATATGTATCCTGGCTGGTCAGTCGGGGTGGGACAAGACACAATTTTCACGAGACGAGACAAACCCCGAGATTAGATCCACGAGAACGAGACAAAACGAGATTTTGACAAACGCTGCAAAAAACAAAATCTAGTCAAGTTAAGATCGCTTCAATTAAGAGAATTTTATCATGATTTGAATAACGTTCACTTGACGAGCAAAATTATCTGACAGTGGAATAAAACTTTTTGTACTTAAAATATGAAAATACATCTTGCTGCACAACAACTCTTTGCTTTTAAAATAAGAAAGACAATCGAATGTCGCTTGAATTAAGAAAAACACATGCAGATAATTTTACTTGTCAAGCTGAATCTACTCAAATAAAGTAAAACGTTGTTAATCTAAGTCTTTTTAACTCACCTAGATATTGTTTTTTTCTAGTGTAGTTTGTAATCTATTCACAATTTTGGCTTTTTATTTTATGTCATACTTCAGCGCTCATTGTACTACTGCATTATGGAACTACAGCCTCTCAAATTGTAAAACTCATCAGCTCTTGACTCTATTTTTGTTAAATTTAATGGTAAATTCACGACGAAAAAGTCTCAAAAGGTCAATTTTCTCGTGTGCTCAATCTTGTGGCAATTTTGTCTCCACGAGTTCTTGTGGCACGAGATTTTGTCCCATCCCTAGAAGCCATTTTTAGATATTTTGGTCATTCTTAAACTGAAATTTATGTAGTTTCGTCACATTTATTTAATTCTAGCTTCCAGTTTGGAGAATATCTTGGAAACGTTACTAATTAATACAAAAAAATACAATACTATATTATCCACAGTTTATTTATTTACAACTTATTACATTTGTCGATTAAAAAATGAACTAAAAAATCTATTTCAGTAGCTCATAAGTCTAGTTTCTCTCAGTCTAAAAGTCCCGTCCTCGGTCTCAGTCTCGGTCCTGATCAGGTAAGTGTTCTGAATGCCTGGGATGGATGAGTCTGAATGCCCGCAGTGAAACTCTCCCTGACCTTAACCTTTAACCTTTAACCTTAACCTGCCTGTGGATCAAACCAAACATCTTCTCAACTAGTGTCCTCCTCGGCCTATTCACAACGACACAGGAATGTTTACTCTAAAACGTATTAACTGCATGTGGGAGTCGGGAGATTCTAATGTACCATAGATTCTAATGGGAGACAGTGGAGCATGGTCATTTGTCTTTAATATGACGATTTTATTTTCATTTTTCCTTCTGACAGAGACTAACTTCAGCAAGTTGCATGATTTTCTGCATGGTACTAACACCTCAAATTCTCAAAAAGTCTTCGTACGCTTCTTGTCATTTGGCATTAACTATTTCAACGGCATTAATGTGTTTTGTTTGACAAGTTTAATGATTTTTTTTAATGTAAAGACAAAACAAGGACGCAACAAAGACTTAGTTAAAGATTTAGTGTGTGGAGCTGTGGGGAGCATTTCTGGTTCTGAAAGTGCATTTGTCCCATTGACATTTTCAAAGCTTTCCATAAAAAAAGACTGAAGACTTGACAAAATCGATGTGTTAATAATTTTTGTAAAGAAACGTGCATAATTTTTGTAAAGAAATGAACTATATTTAAAGTTAAAATGTAATTGTAAAGGGTTTTGTTGATAAAATAGACTTATTGTGTTTTTAGGTCTTACTGTGATATTATTTACTCAAGTTTTCGGTAACACTTTATAATAACTACACCTTACTTAGCCTTAATAAAGCATGAACAAAGACTTAATTAATAATGAACAAAGATTTAATTAATAATGATTCACGCTTAGTAACTACTTAATTACTACCTTAATTAGCACTTGCACTTAATTTGCCTGTGCTGTAAATAGTTACTCATAATTATTTCATACTTAATTACTCAGGAACTAACCATTTGAGCATTTATTAATCATTAGTAAACTATGAGAGAATGATTTACTAATAACACAATGCAATGATAATTCAGGCAGCTGTTATCTGTTAGTTAAGTCTTTTTGAGAGCTTTTCTAAAGTGAAGACAAATTATGCTTTATTAAGCATTTACTAAGCATGAATCATTATTAAATAAATCTTTGTTCACTATTAATTAAGCCTTTGTAAATGCTTTATTAAGGCTAAGTAAAGTGTAGTTATTATAAAGTGTTATCGAAAGTAATTCTGATAATAAGTATAAACTCATCAGAGGTGGTAGTGTGGCCAAAAACTGTACCGTATTTTTCAGACTATAAGGCGACCTTAAAGTTATTTAATTTTTTTCAAAAATCGACTGTGCGTCTTATGTATTAATTCTGTTTGTGCTTACTGACCTCGAACTGATTTTATGTCTTACACAGCGCTCAAAAACCTGTCAAAATGTTTTAGTATGACTTTGGTAAAATATGAAGCTGCACCGCTTGATGGATTATAAGAGCATTACGGCTACTGCGCTTTTTTCAGTGCTTATAGTTTATGCAAAGTTTTGTAAAACATAAACAAATGTGCGCAAAGCTGCATTAAACACATTATTACTCAATGTGTAACTGTGTCGTCCTCGTAGGAAAGAAAAAAAACAAACAAACTTAAATTAGTCATAATCCACATTCACCAAGACAAGGAGGCGGAGCCAGGTGAATTACACCACGATCTGCCGATGGATCATGGACGCCTGAGCTAAAGTCTGTTTGTTTCACTTAATGTTCCTTATGTATGAAAATAGAGAAAATAGAGAGAATTCAACATTATTGATATTGCACCTTATAGTCTCAAGTCCAGTGTTGGGAAGTTTACTTTTAAAATGTAATCCCCTACAGTTTACAGATTACATACCCCAAAATGTAGTTTGTAACAGAATCCATTAAGTTACTTTAGGTGAGTAACATAATCTGAATACTTTGGATTACTTGATT